CTTTAATATCAATATTATTTTTCATTCACATATATGGATAGCTTAGCATTCCCCAGATACTACTAAAAAGAGGTAACTCCATTATAGTCAAGCATACATTTACAATCAATCTATGTGGTGCGTATTATTCAAAATGTCATTTCACTCAATAGGTAATATTTAATACTATAATACATAAAATACTTCATAATGAGAAACTATAAGCATTCACTTTGAAATGACCGATAAAATTTAAGAATAGAGGAATCAATTGCTTAATCAAGCATGAATAATAACTCATATCACTAATTTAAAAGAGATACAACAATGATACAATAATTTATGAGTAGAAGATGGTTTTTTCAAATAGTCTCTTCATTTATCTCTAATTAAAACTTATATTCATATGCACAAAAAATTATTATTAATTTATTAGATATTAATCTTACTATTAGAAGGCAGTTTAACGTTATTTTTTATGTATCATATAATAATTATTATTTTAACATTATTATAATAGTTGTTATTTTTATTTCATAATATAAATTTAATTATTACTTTCAAACAATTTAAATTTAATAAAATATTTTCAATAAGAGGTTGGTCCTCCTAATTTAACTTTCTAATTACTATATACTTTATGTCTTTTTTATTAAGCTTTAAAATTTATATAAATATACATACATTTATATCATGTATCAATTTATTATTAGGGACAATCACATAAATTGCATCTGAAACAATGATATTTACAAAATCTAGCACTCATTTGATATTTTTGAATTACTGAACCGATGTATTTACGCATGCCACAATCAAACCATTGAGAATCATGCCACAATCAAACCACAATCAAACCATTGAGAATTTGATAAAATGAAAAATATGGGTTGGGATTTCATCATTAATTTTGATATTTGAGTGAGAATTTGAAAAATGAATAAAAGAGGGTGTTAGATTTTTAAATAGCAACGTTTTGGGTACTATGTATGTAAACAACCCCTATAATTATTATTATTATTATTATTATTATTATTATTTTCTTTGAATTCATTATGTGTAACATTAGTTCATAGATTTAATAAACAAAAAGACTTAAATAAATCAAACCCAAAGCTTTCTTTACTGCCGCCACCCTTTTATCAAATCAAAAGTGAAACTTATATAGTTTGAATTCTGATTTAATTAAACCTACTATTAATAATTGATAATTAATAATATACTAAATTCATAAATTAATATCAATAAAATCCTTCCCTTTAATTACTCGAGTAACCAACGCAGCAGCACCCTTCTTCTTCCTCTGCTTGAACGCCTCTGACTTCGACAATGAGCCCGTCTTCCCCCTTCGCAGGCTTTACTGGTTCCTTTGTCCACACAAATTGAACGCAAGGATCTACACTCTTCTTCTCGAGTGCACAGGATGCACACTCAAGACTTCTCCCTGCACGAGCTCCTCTCCCGCAAATCGAGCTGCTTGAAACTTCTTCTATCGCACAAGATATGCTTGCAAGACTTCTATTCCTTTGGTTCGATCGCACGAGACATTCACAAGTCTCCTTCCCAACTTGACGTTACGGTTTGCGTGTGAAGTGAACATTCTACTCAACTTCAACCTCTTACACCGTCGCCCTTGCTTGCATCAACATTGACACTCACGCAAGCTTTTTCAACCTACATCGTCATCCGCCAACATCGCGTTCGGTTACAAGAAAGCCCTAGCTTACGCTCGTCAGTCTCAAGCCTTAATCTCATGAAATTAAAAAAATGAATTTGCCCTTTCAAGTTCCCGACCACTCACATCATTTCCACCTTTTTGACTCCCTCGAGGAGATGAAACGAAGTGTTTCAAAGATGCTCTGTAGCAAAGATAAGTCCTTGTTCAAGCATGAAGTTTAAAGAAAACAGATAGGATCGCTCCTTTTTGATTTCGGATTCCTCTCTTTTCTTTATTTCGCCCATTTACTCATCTTCCCAACTATCCATGATCACGTTGTGTTTATTTATATATTTTCTATACTCTTTGGATTAATAAAAATGGTTGCCGACTCTTCCACAGCATGAAATTTACATTTAGGAAAGAATCCATGGATTTGTGAGAAATGAAGGATCGCATCTGCTGTTTTCTATTTGCATACAGGGTATATTTTTAATTATTTTACCCATACTTGCTTCTAAGGTCTCCAGTTTGCATCTTCAAAAAGAGCAAGCGAAAAAGTTCAGTTCATAATATATTTTCGCAGTTCTTTTGCATGACTCATAATCATTGGTTCTAACAGATCTCAATAGAGACCTGCACAGAACCCCCTCCATTCTATGCAGTTTAGATTAGTTCTATCTCCCCATCTTATGAGCGCATTTTTTATCTCTTTTACAACTTGCCTTTAATGGTGCTACTCACAGAGATTTTAAATACAATCAAATCACATATTACCAATTCTAATGTTACCCTTCAGTTATCTTACCAACTGAATTTGTCACAACTAATTCACAATGAATACATTGTTGCACACACTGTTTGTACAAAAAAGTCAGACTTATCATGTTTTACATTACTTTTAAATCTCCATGACATTCCTTAATTATATAGCAATCGTAAAGCATATTTCTAATTTAACTACCCAGACAAATTTCTGCAAATTATGCCACCCAACTACATACTCATTATTTATGCCCCACATCTATATCCTCATTATTTTTTATAATATAGCAGAAAATCTAATCATATCATTCCTATGTAGCTGATCATCCAATATTATTAGATTAATTTTATCAGGTTCACATTCAATAAATTGCTTATACTCTGGTCCCCCAATTGGAAGGAGGATTTCCCTTCTTTTTGTGACCACGAAACATACATTCATCAGCTAGCTCCATAACACTGGATTCTAAATATAGTCTCAGGAACTTGGGCTAGAAAAAAAAAATAACCCAACATTAAACTTCCTAAGGTCTGTATGGTCAAGATGAAATTTATATATTATAGTTGTCTTAGAGGCGTAAATCATCATCTTTGGAGCATAGATGACGGTGTATCTGATTGTATCGTTGAACATGTAAGTCAAATTTGTCAAGCAAATTTTTCAATAACAAGAGGATATCTCCCGTGTAGACTTGACACGGGCAATAAAACAGCACCCTGAGGTGGGAATTGCAAGCATGCAGGGATAGAACCCTGCGAACTGTCGTGAAGGCGGAAAGAGGCGGGAAGGCGGGATCATGTAGGGAGTTTTAATGATATTTTTTTGGATTCTTCTTGCCTCCTCACCTGTCATTTTTTGTGGGATTTTTCCTTTTTACTTCTTTCCTATTTTTCTTCGGTAGGAATCTATTAATTGTTGTTTTCAATGTGTAAGAGGCAGTTTTAGCTGAGTTGTTTCAGATTTCCTGTGTAGAGTCATTTTCCCTTTTGTAGGGATGTATCCAAGAAGGTGGTGGTGCTCCAGCTGTATTCTCCTCCAAGGTGGAGTTGTATCATTCCTTTTTAACATCTCTACACCTCCACCCTCTAGCAGTCGACAGTCTCCGCATCATTTATCCGCACACCCAGCTGCCCTTCCCCCACGGCTTAATCTTGTTGTCCAGCTCCGCGGACGTCACCCCAGCCTTCAACCGCCCTATCCCTACATTCCAGCATTGTTGTATCCTTCCTCAGCATTCATCCCAGACCCAGTCATCGCTATTCTACAGCAAAACCTGCTGCCCAACCCCCCACCATTGCTATACCTGCAGTTATGCACCTTCCCCTCACTGCCACCAGCATTCCTTTGCTGCCACCACCCCTGCCAACCATCCCGATCCACCTAGCCAATCTCCACCGCCATTAAAGAACAACTTAGAGAAGTTTTCTTGTTTCGTTCGTGTTTTTTGTTGTTATTTTTTGTTGTGTTGTGTTGTAACCCTATCTCTACATCAATAAAAGTTTGCTTTGTGTGTTTTCGCTGTTCTTTTAACTACTTCCGCTATCAAGACTTCCTCTAAAGTTTTCTTCATAAGGTAGTTTACGTTGAAGCATGAATCCGTACTATGTCAGGGCCTGATATGGTATTTGTGAGTTTGTCAATTTCGCATAGGCCTGAATCTTCGTAAAAGTTATGTCCAACTCTACATCAAAATTAGGTTAAAGTTCATATTCTGTGCAGAACAATAAATTGAGCATGCAACTCAAATTTGTTGTGTAATCCTTTGATTAATTAGATAGCAATAGCTCTCATGCAGACTGCAGCTAAGATTCTCTATGTGACGAAGCTTACATTAAATCCTAATCAGCACTCTCTCAGGACCTGATAAAGGCTATGCTGAGTTTGTGAATCTACCTAAGCCTGACTCTTTATAAAATTATATCCAACTCAGTATAATAGAAGGAAAAAGTGTATATTCTGTCGACGCTTAGAAATTGAGAAGAATGTCAAATGGAAGCAGCATATTAAACCAAAGTGAATGCAGAGAATTTTCAATGAAGGATAGTTTCGCTATTGACAAAATGTTGAAGGACTCAAAAGAAACACATTTAGCATTATCACTTTCAAATGATTAAATTTTCTGCCAAAAGAACTGAAATCATTATAACTTTAATCTGTTATTATTTTCTAATTTGTGCATTTGCATGTTCCCCTTTTAGGTCGCATCCAGATTTGAAGTGCCATATTTTTCTACCTCATACAGTACTTTAAAAAAGATCTGAGATAATGGTGTATCCCACCACATTGTCCTGCACGGCATAAATTTTCAAAATACACTGGTTTCATTTCAAAGTCCGTTAATGGCGACAATCAATCTGAGTTTATCCCACTGAAGCACAAATAACAATCTGATGAAAGTTAAGCATGATGTGCACTGCAAAGTAACACTGGTAAAGAACGAAGCTACTTGAAAAATAGAAGTAAATACAACCATACAACTAGGCAATATGTGCTTCAAACTTATAGTCTTGAAGCCTTCTAGAGTGCTATCAACATTCACCAAAAATAAGAACGGATTAATAGCTTCTGCAACAGAACAGAATAAGGTGAAGGACTTACTTCTCCTTCCATTCCCAAACTGCTTTGGTGAACTCTTCCCTACTCATATCCATCCTTTTTAAGCCTTTGGACGCAAGCTTTCTTTCCACTACCAACTAAAAGATCACAAAAAGAAAATAATGTGAGAAAACAAGATAAACTTCAAAATAAGGAAAAAAAAAAAAGGAACCCAATGGCCTAGTATGATAGAATAAATGCAGCAACAAACTAGAAAAACAAATATATAAAATAAATGAATACAATGGTAAAGGTAAACAAGAGAAAAGTGAAAAGCAAAATCTTAGCAAAAGTAACATAGTTAACACAAGTAAGCCAAGAGTTTCAACATGAAAGCTAAAAGATAACCTGAGTTGCTATACCAGCATGATCAGTTCCAGGAAGCCAGAGTGTGGCCCTACCCTTCATGCGGAAGTATCGAATCATAATATCCTGTTCACAAAGGGTGAATCAAGAAATAAGATAGAATATATGAACAGCATTTAAAGACAAAAGGACAAATCTGGGGAAATTTATGAAATGCATCAAAATAAAGCCTTTAGAAGTATGGCAGCCCATCGAACAAAACATACAGAATAGTTTAGATGAGTTGCATCCAAATGACTCCATAACATTAATCAATTAAAGAAGCACCAATATGAAATGCTAAACAAAGCTTCCGAAATACTAGATGACTTGTGGCTCCCTATATAAAAAAATATGGGAAATGCTAGTTCTCCAAGTAATGGAAGGCTAAGCTTAATCGGCTAATGTAATGTTGATTGTAGATTTCATTTTATTGATTAAAAAATCATGCATTGTGCTAAAATTAAAACATTAACCAAATTTGGTTTTATATGTGGCAACAACCAATTGCCTTTTCTTAGGAGCTAAAGAAAATCTAATTATCATTAATTTATAACAAATTCAAAAGAAAGTTATACGTAACTTCATGGATTCCTATATAAAATTAAATGATTTGAAAATCATCCTAAGAGATGATTACTGCAAAATGCATTTGTTGAAGTCTAAGCATTATCAAGTTTGAATGATCATAGCTCCGAAAGCGGTTCATGTTGACATCACTAGGAGTAGAAATAGTGGAGGAAAGTCACAACACACATCAAAAGACATTTTCTTGAATCTTGACCCAATGCTTCCACCTAAAACCTTAGTAAAACTTGTTCAACAAATTCAATGTAGCCCAAATTGGTCAAATAGAATCAAACAAACTCAAAACATGCCAAATTCATCCCACAAATTCAAACACATTGATACGGGCTCAAAATGAACTTAACAGGCCCGAACAAACCTGATCTATAGAAACAAAACTTGACTTAAACAGTCCATCTAAAAATTTAGCCAACATCTAATGAAGAGAAACCTAAGTATACTGCCATAATAAACAAAGAATATTTAATCAGTATCAAAAATTATATATTTAAAAGTTCTTCAAATTGGAATTTCTATAGAACCATCGTAAAATTGTTGTAATAACCACATTATTGTAGCGCTGTCAATAACATGAACTCTAAAAGGACCATAAAATCAAATATCCTTCTACCCGTTTAGATTTTTCGAAGGCAATTTGCTTTTTTTAAGATTTTTAGCTCCAAACTTATAATCAAGACTTTATACTTTGCTTCAATATTGATACTTAGCTAAAGGAAATAATAATGATATAGCAATAAACTGTCTTATGGGTAAACAAGTTTGAGCCTACACCCCTGTGTGCCCTTCAAAGTTGGCAAAGATCCAAGCCTTTCTTGGAAGATGCCCCACCAAAATACAAAGAAAGAGAATTAACTGGGATCATGAGTGTTGTCCAGAAGTTAGCAAATATGCACTCTTAGAATCTTAGAGCCAGAATGGGAATTTTTCTATTTTTAGTATTACTTTATCTTTTTCATTTTCTATTATGGTAGTTTCCTATTTTCTAGCATGAGGATTTTGTAGCTGAGTTTAGCCTTCCGTGGTTATTTATCATATAAAGTTCTCCTATGGAATCTAATGAATATTACTATTTTTTCTTCTCACAAATCCTTAAGGATATCAGAGCTAGAGTTCTACAGTTGAAGCAGCACAAAACCATGCTAATCTCAACTCGAGAACACATTCGAGGGTTTCAACCTCTTCTTCGATGACGTCACTTCCGAGCATCTGGAGCTGTCAGCAAATCGAAGGCCCCAATTACCCGAAGAACACATTCGAGGGTTTCAACCTCTTCTTCGATGATGTCACTTCCGAGCATCTGGAGCTGTCAGCAAATCCAAGGCCCCAATTACCCGAATTTGGTGTGAACAATCTCACGACTCAAACTAAAGCTTTTGTTGTCGCCAAAGAGGAGCCCAAGCATGAACGATCTCACGACTAAATTGGGCATTGGAGCTCCTGATGTGATCTTTATTCGGGCACTATAGCTTCTCGTGGTAGTTGATGCTCGTGTTTTTTCACATCCTCTACTCTCATTTGATGATGTCATACAACTCAGCGATCATTAATGCCCAGAGATATTTTACCATTTCTACTAATTCCAATAATTTTGAAAACATGTGGATCTGTTGATTAATATTCCCATAATTCAACCCTTTTTTCTCAGGGATATAAAACTCAATGGGAGCAACTATCTCAATTAGACTTAATCGATAAAATTGGCATTTGATAGAAGAGGTAAAATTGGGCATTTAATCAATCAAATCTCAAAACCTCTGCTTGTGACTCTAATCTGAAGAAATTGAAATCTGAGAACTCTCTTATTATTGCTTGGCACATCAACTTCTTGGAACGTGTCATAGGAAAACCTCTATTTCTACCCACTAGTAAAGATGTCTGGAAATTTTTCGAGATCTTTATTCAAACTTAGAAAACTCTTATCATTTTTTTGAATTGAAAACTTAACTTTATGGCGGGAACTTAATTAATATGATAATGATGTTTGAGAGAATTAGAACAGCTACGCCCGTCATAAGAGGAGGGAGGAAAATGATCCGGCTTTCATGATTTTAGTTGGCCTTAATTGAAGTTCAGATGAAGTCTCACGTCCACTCGGTGGGAAACCACCACCTTCCATTCGAAAAAAAATTTTTAATATTAGACTTGAGTAGTCAAGGAGAAAAATCAAGTCGAGGGACAGTAAAACTCCTTTTAACCCTGAACATGATAGCTAGACACTTGTGTTAAGAGGTATTAATACTAACAAAGAAATGTGTAAACGTTCTACCAAATTATATACAATCCCTTTCCCCAGTGAGCAAGCACATGCACAAGTTGTTTCAATCTCCAAAATTGTCTGACTCAGTCATGCTCTTTAGTATAGAAGGGTAACTCTCTAACCCTTGCGTTATTAAGTATTACTCCTAATTTTGTTCATTCTCGAATAATTGATTTGGACGTAACTGATCATATGAATAGTTGCTCTAAATTGTTTTCATCCTATAGACCTTATGCAGACAATAAAAAAAGTTAAAATTATTGATTGTTTGCTCTCGGTAATTGTCGGGATTGGAACTGTCAAATTCACCTTGTTGTTAACCATTCAATATGTACTTCATATTCCTAATTTGTCTAGTAATTTATTGTCCATTAGTAAAATTTATTCTGACAATCAGTGTCAAGCTAATTTCTATCCCTCTTATTGTGAATTTCAAAAATTTAACGTAAAGAGGATGATTAACAGTGCTAATGATAAACTCTTATTTTGAAAATAGATTTAGCTCTAGTCATTATCAAAATATTTTTGTATATTTTGTTTCTATTTCCAAAGAGTGATATTATGTTATAACATTATAGGTTGGGGCATCCTAATACTTATTTCCTAATTTATTTCAAAATAAAAAACTGCAATTTTTTCAATATGTAATGTTAGTTTGTTAAACATCATCATGCGTCTCCCCCTCCCCCAAACTTATAAACCAACTACACCATTTACTCTGATTAATAGTTATATTGATGGTCGATGTAGAACACTTACATATGCTGGTAAAAATCATTTATTACATTTATTGACGAACACACAAAATTACATTGGGTTTGGATAATGAAAGAAAAATCTGAAAAGAAAATAATTTTTAAAAATTTTACGTCATAATACAAACACAACAACAACAATAAAGCATTAATCTCACTACGTGGGGTCGGTTACATGAATCTTTTTTCTCCATTGCGTCCTATTTAGCGTCATAGTTTCATTTAGTTCTAATAAGTTAAGATCATTTTTTATACAATAAGCGCAAGTCTTCCTAGGTCTATCTCTGCTTTCTTAACATAAGTCGAATTTAAAACATCTACTCTCCTAATCGGATCATCAGATGGTTGACATCGGATCATTGGTTGACGTTTAATGTGAACAAACCATCTAAGACGGCATTCTCTAATTTTGTCCGTCACTGGAGCTACGTCATGATACAAACACAATTTAAAAAAAATATTCAAATCATATAAAATGATCATGGCTGAAAATTTTTTAAAAAAAATTCAATCATTCTTTTGTCGAAAAGAAATATTTCATCAAAGTTTTTATGTCAACACTCCACAACAAAAAGGTTTAGCTAATGAAAAAATAAACACTTATTGGAAGTTGCTCGATCATTATTTTTTACCAATCAGGCGACGAAATATCTTCGAGAAGCAGCAGTTCATACTGATACATCCCTCATAATTAAAACTATAAAAAAGGTTTTAAGCTTTAAAACACATTTTGATACTTTTCATAAAATTTATTACCAAACAAATTGGCTTACTACTTTTCAACAAAAGATATTCAGTTGTGTTGTTTTTGTTCACATCCATAATCATAATAAAGGCAAAGTTGAACTCCAAGCAAAAAAAATGTGTTTTTGTTGATTATGCTCGCACTCAAAAGAGATATAAATACTTTTATCGTATTTCTAAGAAAATATTTGTTATCATGGATGTCAGCTTCTTTGAATTACAACCATTTTTCACAACTCATCTTCAAGACGGGAATAAAATAAAGACTCAGCTACTATGTTTCAGAATCTTTCTCAAACTGAATATTCACAAAATACCTCTCCAACCTTGATTTTAAACCTAAAAATCCAAACAAAAATATATTGAGAAAAGTGGGTCAAGTTTTTTAGATAGTGAACACATTTTTGGTCTTCCTATAGTGCCATCTAATGACGTTTAAGATGCTATAAAAATTAACAAAGAATGAACAAGAAAAATAATTATGATATTGGTACAACTTGATATTGTCTACTCGCGCCAAAGGACAACTCAAAAGAAAGGCTCTACAATCATTTGAACTACCCAGAATCTGTGAACCCACTATGTAATGTCATCACTGAGCCTTTAACCCATGTTCAAATCACTTCATCTTTGCATTATGAATCTTCTAATTCTAAACTTGAGGATAATTCCAATTCTAAATGTAATATTTTATTCTTTCCATTGTTGTTTGCAAGGTTGTAAGGTCTTGCACTCAACATCCA